GTGTGTGTGTGTGTGTGTGTGTGTGTGTGTGTGTGTGTGTGTCATTAATGGGGTTTGTATAGTTGTAGTACATTTAGTTAAGGCTTTGCGTGTATTTTTATCTGTTTTGTTTAGTGCACATAAATAATTATGTTATTAGGTTTTCACAAACTAAAGAAGCACAGGTTTSCAAAAGACAATGATCCAGTATTATTCTGAAGCTGAATAATCGCAAGAAAGCACTTATAAGTTTATAAACAAGGCTGATCAAACCAGAACTAAACTTATTTCTTTGTTTTGAGGTGAACCACCTTGTTTGCAGGTATAAAAGTTGTCAGGTGATCAGACTGGCACACCTGGCAGGCTGCTGGTCTCACTCACCCATCCCTCGAAGGTCTCCCCGCCGTTGGAGGTTTTGATCAGGTCCTCGAACTGGATGGTGCAGTTGGCCACGAAGTCGTCGTAGCCGATCGGCGTGTCGTGGAACACGGCCAGCTCGATCTGCTTCCCGTCGTTCACGTTCAGGCTGAACTCCTCGTTGTACGTCGGCGTGTTGGTTTTCTGCTTGGTGTGAGTTTGGCCCACTTTGCAGTCGTCCACCTTCACCATAATGTAGGGGTCCAGGACCTGAAGAGTCTTGTTGAAGATGACGGTGTGCCGGGTGGAGAAGGTGGTTGGCTTCAGCTCCAGCGCCTCGCCGATCCGGAGCCTTAGATATCCATTAAAACGCATTTTCAAAGGCAGCCTCCGCGCGCAAAAATGTAAGAAAAATTCACTAAAATAATAAAAATGCAAAAAAAAAAAGTTTACGCCCTTTTAGTTATAGGAGCAAGCAGTGTTAACTATGTTAAACCCATCCTGACATGGACTTGCTGTTTCTCTGCACGGACTCTCTGTGGGTCTCGAACCTGYTTCACTGACTCTCTGTAAATAGGAAGAACCACGCTGCGCACAAGTTCCGCATTTTTCTGTCACAGTACACACAAATGAGACTGACGGCTCTGTCACATGGGTCAAAGTGGAGTTTGAGATAGCAGCGCGGTACTACACTAACCATCATGCATCGCTCTGACAGCTGAAAGGTGTCCCCGGCGCTCACCTGTCCGCTGGTGTTGTGGAGAGCGCGCCCTCTGCTGGTCAACATGGTGAACCGCATTTCCTTTTCTTCAATAAAGTCAGGGTATTATTTTAAATAAAATAATGTAACTATAAGACTAAATATAAAAATTAGGTGCTACATTTCAAACACTTTATGCACATAATCTGTAAATAGTTTTATGCTGATTTCAGTGCCTCTTTGTGCATATCTTTGATTTATTTTCCTGCCGACAAACTACTTTCTACCCTACGCAGCTGATCATAAAGAAGTGCATTTTTAAAATAAGTTAAAAAAAAAGTCATATCTAGATTTATAAATGCTCAAATAAACACAATCAGTTCAACTTTTTTTTTGCTTTGTATCAAAATGTGTCCAAAGGAAATTTTTACGTGAGAAAAAAACAAAACGAAAACAATAAATAAATAAATAAATAAAACAGAAAATCTCACTAAGCATTCACGTGAAATGCAGCGTTTTCCCACCAGGTGGTGGTAATGAGACATCAAGATGATTTATTATTAAAAATAGTCAAATTCAAATACACATTTAAAAAAATTAAAAACAGCATAAAACGTGTTTTACTTTACTTTAACAAGCATTAGAATTTCATGAAGCCGTATTTATGAGAAACACTTTCTGTTTGTTGAAAAAATAAAATAGATTTTTATTATAAATTAGGCTTTTTGTTTCTGTAGGAATCTTGTCAGTGTTTGGTCAAACTAGATATGTTTCAGTGGGTCTGCTTAATCGTTTTGCTGTCAGAAATGAATAACATTCATAATATTCACACATTCTGTCATTTGAGAAAGTGTAAAAGTCTTATAAAAGTGAGAAAATACTGCTTGCATTTATTTTATGTTAATTCACTAAACAACCTGGTCTAATCCTATTTAACAACTAAAACAAGAATTCTCAGCTCTAGTATCATTCTGTGATGTTTAAATGAAAAAGTAAAAGCAGTTAAATCTCTCCYGTCTTTTCTTCCCTGCTGTGTAGACTTTCTCCTTCCTCCTTTAAAAGCCTCTCTGTCTCCTCCTCTCCCTCCGAGGGAGCCAGACCTGTTCCATCCATAAATGCCACGATCAAAGTCTCCACTTTATTGGTGTTAGACTTGACCTCTGACCCCTCTCCGGCAAATGTCAGCACTCCACGTCCCTCCGCTCCAGCTGGTATAAATAAAGAGCCGGGGTCCCACTCCTCGCACATCCCTGGGATCCAGACCGTCTTGTAAACAACCTCTCAGACGTGACCTGACCGAGAGGAGAAGGCCGGTGACGAGAGCGCAGGCAGCRAGTGAAAACTCGCCTCGCGCCAATCAGCAGCTGGGATTTCACTTCCATCGGGTCAGATTGGAAGATAAGACTTCGGCTCTGCAGATGACCCAAACCAGGAGGAATCAAACATGGTTTATGTTCACAAACATTGTTTATATTGTTTTTTTTTTCACTCAGGGCTCCAGAGTCAAGGCGACTGAATGTGATATTTGTTTCTATATCATTTAAGAAAGGTCTTCTGAGGGCCCAGCTTCAGGTTCAGGAAAACTGCTGAATTCATCACCTTCCTCTAAACGCAGTTTTTATGTTCACGCTCTTCTTTGTGAACCAGTTCTGCTGCAGGCCTTTCCCAAAACACTTTCTCTACATTCAAGACTGATGATCTTAGTGACTCGCTGTCATCTGAAGCGATGCTTTCTGGTGGAGGTCTGCAGCTGAGCACCAAGCAAGACTTTCATTCTGAACAGAAGAGCAAAACAAACAAAAACATTCATCATCAAATATACATATACAACTAATTATTTTCCCAGTTTAAGATGGGTGCCACAGCTAATGATGTTAGCCATAAAAACTGTTATAATTCAGTCAGTTRTGCAGATAATAAGCTGAAATTTAATGTCGTAGTAGCTGAGAGTCATTCAAAACAACCTAAAGGAGACTGAACGTTTCTCAGCAAAACTGCATGTTTTTTCATCTCAGTTTAAAACTCTGGCAGGTGATAAAGATTCTTACAAGAACTGGAAGGAATTTGGTTTCTGAGATGTTTTATTTACATTTTTCTGCAATGTAGATGTGATTTGTTGTGATGTAAACATTTATGGTTTTGATTCTGCTGTGCTATTTAAAACAATCATTTTATTAAAAACTGTAAACTTTTTTTAAATATAAACTTAGCACAAAATAAGTAAATTTTTTGTTTGGTAGATGTTATGGCAGTATTTATTTAACAAAGACAGAAATACGTGGTCCAAGAATGAAGGTACTCCGTGAGATGATCAGCTGAGTTTTATTGCAACAACAGGAAACACAGAGAACAACCTGCCCTGTCTCTGTGCCTCTGCTTCTCTCTGTCAGTCTCTCCACACTGCTCACTGTGTCTCGAGAGGCCTCATATATATATATATATATATATATATATATTTATTTATATATTGATACAAGGTCAATGGAAAACACAAAGATAAACACAAGTGATATCTAAGAATGACTGTTGTTAGCAAATCTTGTTCTGACTTTAATCATTCTGTCTGCAGATGAACAGCATGTCATGAAAACCTAGGTCATTAAAGGATGTCATGAATTACTGGCTTAAACATAAAAGTATTAGTTCCGTTACAGTAGATTATTTCTTGTAATAAACCTTATATCAGACACCTGACTGGCAGCAACTGGGGGGACCAGAAGCTCAAAACAAGTGTCAATAACAGCAAAAATAAGCAGTTTGAAGATTTGGTGAATTTTTCATGACCAACCCACATACTTCAATCTACTGCTCATCTCACAAATGCATGTTCCTTGCAAATGTGGCTCCATTTAAAAGGGAAGTTAAAAGACTTTCCAGTGTTATAAGATTTTTTTCTAAGAAGCATTGTTACAACAAAGAAATGACCTACCAAACATGAATTTACTTATTTTTGTGCTGTTTATCAAGGTTTTAAAAGTTTTTAGCTATATCGTTGTGTATTTTTTGTGATCTTTTGTTTGTACTTGCTGTTTTTGTCACATCCTTTGCCGTTTCTTGTATTTTTTGTGAAATATTTCTGTTATTTTCCGAGTGTCAGATTTGTTTAAAGCTGTAGAGTAAAATAAAGTTGCTTTTGGTTTTATTCCCTGTGACTTGTTGCACATCAGGACGCGAGTCGCAGATTGTATTTTACAGCACATATTCTGCAAACAGCCTAATTTCAGCCATTTGTAAAGCTGCCACATCGTTTTTTCACGATCCAGAGACCAGTTTAGGTCTGTAACTCAGACCAGCTCAGTCCCACCCTGAATGTGCAGCTAATGAAGCGTAGCATTGGTGCCAAACAGGGCAGAGGAGGATAAGGAGAACACAGCTGAGATGTATTGAAGCTTATCTCTTAAGTGAGAGAAAAATCCTGCAGGGCAGTTTCCACCCCCACCTCACCTCCTGGACCGCCACAAACTCGATTACACCCATCAGTCATTCAGTCATTGGGTCAGAGCACTGGGGTACAGTTTGGTTACAAGACCCCAACTTCCCCCCAGGTAAGGCTGAACACACGTGTGGAAAGAAAGTTCGTAAACCACACATCTGGTAATAAAAGTCTTTTATTCACTAAAGAGTGTTTACTGCTTAAGATGGAAAATGAAGAAAAGAAAAGGGGGAACAGGAGAGGGGTGGTTTCTAAACTATTAGACTTCTTTTTCCTCGTCTTCATCAGCTGAGTAAAAGCAGAGAGCCCTGCTCAGACTGGAGGATGTTCTGAGAGGAAAGACACAAATAAAGCTCAGGGCTGTGAAAACTCTGGGACCGGTCAGAGCTGCTCTGGATGGAGGAGCAGCGGGCTGWGGGTGACTGGAGGAGGGAGGAGGGGCTTGGCTCTGACACAGCCCCTCCTGGGTAATTGGCTCCAGATGTGAGGCAGCGTGGCCCCTGCGCCAGAAAGGCGTCAGGGCCGCATTAAGAGCTCAGCTCGGGGCTGATGGGATCGCACTGACACAACCCCCCACACCTCTACCACCAACACACACACACACACACACACACACACACACACACACACACACACACACACAC